GTGAAGGGCGGCGTATAAATCCAATCTCTTCTTCTCTTCTTCTTCTTCTAATGAACAACGGATGGCTGAATGTGAGAGGGCTGTGGGTCCCGGAAACTGCCACCAACAGCCTAAAGGACATCAAGCACTGTAAGAACAATCAAAATGAACACTGCGATCTGACTGTGAGTTAAGAATACTGAATTATGGCTGCCACCATCAAACAAACAACAATGATCACTAGCACTTTATTATGGTTTTAGAATTGTTTTTAATTGTAATTTATGTTTTAATGTAGCCTATCTGTTTTTATGTAAGCTGCCCTGAGGCTCAGGCTGGGAGGGTGGGGTAGACATTCGAAAAATAAATAAACAAACAAATTTAGTTACAATAAATTGTATAGTGAAGTCTTTCATCTAATTGCCAATTGGGAAACTCATAGAGATTTGGGGATGGAGCTGGAGAGGACAGGGACCTCAGTGGGGTACAGTGCCACAGAGTCCACCCTCCAAAGCATCCATTTTCTCCAGGGGAACTGAGCTCCGTAGTCTGGAGATGAGCTATAAGTCCTGGCCATCCCCAGGTCCCACCTGGAGGGATCTCAGCTGGGTATAATGCCAGAGTCCACCCTCCAAAACAGCCATTTTCTGCAGGAGAACTGATCTCTGTAGTCTGGAGATCAGTTACAATTCTGGGAGATCTCCAGGTCCCTATTGCACCTACTGGTGCAGGGATTATTCGGAGTTAGTTTTCCTCCCACTGACCAGAATCCTAAACTAGGGGCTTAGAATCTGGTTGGAAGGGTGGGGACTAAGTCTGGTCAACCGTGCAGCTGCATTTGAACATCATGGGTAACCAAGATTAGGGGTTTTTACCGTGATTCTCTGCATGGGAAGGAAGGGGGAGAAGCAAGGCATGTGCACAGGCCTGGAAACATGTCACATCCGTGTGCATTTTTACTTAATCACATTTATGTGTGATGTTTCCAGCCTATAGTTTCCCCCACCATCACTCTATAGCCTGCAAAAAGATGACTTTGAATAGAACTGGATGGCAGCAGCAGGTGGCAGTGTTAGACAGGGAATGCTTTCAGAAATAGCAAGCAGGAGAAATCCTGGTGGGGAGTAGTGGGAGGAGGGTGAGACAGTGGTCCATTATGCATGCACATCTTACTGCAGATTTTCAGAGCTGTAAGCCTTTAATCTTGACTTTGGATTCTGTGCCCTCCTTATGCACCATTCTTTTTCCTTTGGTGTATTTATCCTGCAGCTACAATAAAAAAAAACACTTTTCTAAATGCGAGTGGAACGTCACTTGTGACATGTGGGGTGTGTGGGAACATGCTGAGTGTACAGAATGCACGGTAGAACCCACTGACACTGGCATTGCAAGCTGTGATCCTTGGCACCATGTGTGTGTGAGTGCGGACATGCGCACACCTGTGCAAAGTTGGTTGCAACTCCACCATGCTTTGCACAGGGCTACAATTTGTATGAGGGAGGAGTCCTCTGGCAGAAGTTCTGGAGAGCTTTTTTTATTCTTGTCCCACTAAATTGGGGGGGAAATGGGGGGCTATTTTCACCGATGCCCTAGTGCAGCTGCATAGTAACGCTAATTTCCTGCCCTCCCTTGCTAATTTGTGTTGTTCTCTTCAAGATTCTCTAATTTGATCCTGGTCGTGATCTTGGCAGTTTTTTAAAGCCTGTCCTGTGCGGATTACGCTCTTACTCCAAATGTATCGATCCCAAGCGATTCTTAAGTTTGGCGGTTCAGAGGTCCATATGGCTCAGCTGCCATTTTAATGTTAGGCTTCCAGAGACTGCCAAAATGGTCCCTCCCCCAACTTTGTTCACTAAAACATTAAATGGAAAATATTTTAAAAGGTTTAGGCTTCCCATCCCAGTGTCAATTTCTTTCTCTTTACATCTCATGTCAATTTCATTCCAAGCTGATGATCACCCCCATTTACTTTGTTTGTATGCAGTACTTTACTTTGTTTGCATTGGAGATGCTGCGTCCTCTCCGATCCCCCTTTCAAGTCAATACAAGCAGGGAACTAAACCTCGTGCAGTTCCTTTTAAACTCCCCCCCTGGTCATTTTAATTTTTTTCGTTCAGCGATCCGAGACGAGCGATAGTCTCATATTGCTAGATTCATTTCGCTTGTCAACAAAATTAAAAATGTAAAAATGAGGGGAAAATGGAGTTTGTAAACCAATGAAGGGGGAAGGATGGCGGAAGGTGCAGAGTGAGTGGAACAACCTCAATGTAGGCGGGGAGCAATCTTTGAGAAGCAGCAAAAGGGTGGGGGAAATCTGAGGGAATCTGTATGCTTTTGAATTACCTTTGGCTTGGAAGGGAAACAAGGGGAAAATTTGCAGAAAAGCACTATCAGAAAACCCAGGGAAACAGCGACCAGAAAGCAAACTGAGCACTGAAGGGAGGAAAATTAATGCAGAACAACAAAGAAAACCCTATGGACATGCACAGTGAAAGCGAGGGAAAACACCCATGCATAATAGGCCAGTAAAAGTGCAGAAACTGTTTTCAATACCACAAAAGGTATGAGGAGCCTTCCCTTTTAATACTACGGATATAATCAACCCAGAGTGCAAAGCCAGTTTGGAGTTCAGCACTTGATCTGGTTTGCACATGCAGCCAAATGAGATGATAGAATCTGGAGGTGATAAAATGTTCTGTATTCAGGCTGCAGGTATGGAGTGTCATATCTTTAAAGACCCCACACACACACCCTATGTAAAAATAACTGCAAATAAATTATCAGCACATCACTGTGAAAGATTCTAGCTGACTTCTGATAGGGTTGCCCGCTCCAGGTTGGAAAGTTCTTGGGAGTTTTGGGGGGGGGGGAGGTTGAACCTGGGGAGGGTGGGATTTGGAGAAGGGAGGGACCGCAGCAGAGTATGATTCCATAGAATTCACCCTCTATAGCAGCCATTTTGTCCCCCAGGGGAACTGATCTCTGTCATCCCTCTGAGCCCCACCTGGAGGTTGGCAACCATATGTGCATGGAGTCAGTTTTCCGAACACTGGGAATGATTAATTAAATGGAATTTAAATAATAATAAAACAATGAAATGGTACTGTTCACTCTACCACCTCAGCATTCTCCCACTTCACTCCCATCTCATTCTGGTGCATTTTAAGGCTAGGCCTTTATAGCAGCAATCCTATCATCTGGGAACTCCTCTTTAATATGACACAGTCCCAAGCAATTATGGACCTGGGTTAGTGTTGTGATGCCAGCTATGAGACAAAAGCAGAAGTGTCCCTGGTTCACACATGCAAAAAATGAGGTGGCCGAGATGTAAGATGGTGGGATGGACTGCACCACTTAATTTGTATGTAGAGGATTGTGAAGTATCACGTTTTAAAATATATCCTAATGTTAAAAAATCCCCCACAAACAGAAAACCAGCCCAGCACTCAAAGGTGGTAGAACACTTCCCCCTACTGTTTTCATTTTCTGTTAGCATGAAGTTTCTTGTGTGAAAGAACAGTTGGAAAACCACCCCCAGCTGCAGTCTGAAGTGGTACAGAATATTCCACATCACCACAGGGCTTGGCCGTTTCATCCTTCTGCATGCATGAATCAGGCCTTATACGAGTCTGACTCAGGAAGTAGTTGGTTTGTTTTTAACAACCCTTTACAGTAGAATCATAAGAACACATCTCTGGGAGTAGTCTCTGTTGAATATACCTGAGTAGGATTTTGGACAGACCTACATGGTGGTGATGGAAAGTGCCATCAAACCACAGCTGATTTAAGGTGACCCTGTAGGGTTTACAAGGGAAGAGATGTTCAGAGGCAGCTTGCCATTGCCTGATTCCACATAGCAACCCTGGACTTCCTTGGTGGTCTCCCAGCCAAATACTAACCCGGGCTGACCCTGCTTAACTTGCAAGTTCTGACAAGATCAGGCTAATCTGGGCCATCTAGGTCAACACAGATCTGCTTTGAATGGTATGCTTAAAACTCTAAATGATTTGGATCCACAGTACCTAAAAGACCATCTCCTCCCATATCGATTTGTCCTAATCCTAAAACATATGAATGGTATTCTCCTGATGGAACTTGCCTCTTCTGACAAAAGACTGGCGCGGACTCACAAGAGACCCTTTTTCAAGTTTCGTCACCAGGATGGGAACACCCTTCATGGCGTGGTGAGGTTAACTATTGCTTTCTGAAGAAAAATGAAAACATTTTTGTTCTTGAAGCCCTTTGGATGAACTTACTGATATCTATGTCTGGCTCTGCCTTTACCAAATGGTTTTGATATTGTTGTAAGCCATGGCTGGGGGGGGGGGTCGATGGGGCCAAATTTAAGGCAACACAGAAATAAACGAAATAATCGCTTACATTGGATGACTGGAGAGAACAGACAGAAATGAAGATAATTTAAGAAGGAGGAGACAGATCACGAAGACAGGAAGGTTAGACTTAATACAGGAGCGATGAGTCCATGCGTATTTTAGGTGACCACTTTTGAATGTGGATATTGGCAGCTAGGAGAGGACTGCTTAGGTGCCAGAGAAGCGTTGGGTCCTAAATATGGCTGAGTGGAAGCTCTCCTTGGCCTCCAATCCAAATCTCAACAGAACCCTTGAGGCCGGGTCTTTTCTAGCTTATGAGACATTACTTGCTTCTCCAAGAAGAACCCCGGAGTCCTGGTTCTAGCGCCACTCTCTTTCTAGAGAGCAGAAGAGTTCTGGCTTCCAATTCTCCTGAAGGTGCCCTGCCCTGCCAATCCTTTTCACTGCCCCTGGGCACTCTGCCTGCCCCTATGTCACCACCATTCTAGTTATTTTTAGCTCACCATCCCCACCCCCGGTCAGAGTACTGCTAGGATTGCTTTTAGGCATGGGGATGGGGGCGGTGCTGGGATTTTGGCAAGGGGGCCAAGAGTCTGTACCGTCCTGGGCAACTTGATACCTCTAGGTCTGGAGAAAGTGTTTACAGGCAGAAACCTTGGACGCTGGCATTGGAAGGCAGGGGTTGTTCTCAGAAAGGGGACATAGAGAAGGGCAGCGGGGGAGGATCTAGAGTAGGGGGTCTAGCCCCTTTGCAGGGAGGGAATCAGAGCAAAATTGGATGTAGTGGGGCACAGGAGAATGGCTCTAACAGGAAATGCCAAGAAAGAAAAGAGGTGGCTTGGCGTGGGGGACTAATAAGGGGGAGGGGAGAGAATCAAGCCAGAAACTAGATCATGTTTGAGGTAGAGAATGAATCAGTGAAGGCAGAGGAAGGGGAGCTAAGGTGGCCAGAGAGGAAGGGAGGGAAAGAGCCGGCCGAGACACAGATAAAGGTGTGAGTGATTTCACTTTGCAAAGGGCACAGCACAGAATAGCTTAACAAAGAACTCGAGGAAGCCAGAAGCCATTCTCTGCAGAGGTTTAGGGCCTCGGGGGTGGGGTGAAGTTTGAATCATGGCTCCCTCCCTCATCCCAGGATCCCTGTAGTTGCCAGCTGTGCCATGGATGAGCTGCCACCGCCAACAGTGGGGGACAATGAACTCCTTGTCCCTTGCGGGGGGCGTCCCCACAAGGACTGCTGCGAGAGGGTCGTGATCAACGTCTCAGGCCTACGCTTCGAGACCCAAGTGAAGACCTTGCGCCGGTTCCCCAACACCCTACTGGGTGACCCGCAACGCCGTGTGCGCTATTACGACCCTCTGCGCAATGAATATTTCTTTGACCGCAACCGGCCCTGCTTTGACTCCATCCTGTACTATTACCAGTCTGGAGGACGGCTCCGGCGGCCAGCCAACATCCCCCTCGATGTTTTCCTGGAGGAACTCAAGTTCTACGAGCTTGGGGATGAGACCCTCACCAAATTCCGTGATGATGAGGGCTTCATTAAAGAAGAAGAGCAGCCCATGCCCGACAGGGAGTTCCTCAAACAAGTGTGGCTACTCTTTGAGCATCCTGAGAGCTCCCAGGCTGCCCGCATCATCGCAATAATCTCTGTGATGGTCATCCTGATCTCCATCGTGATCTTCTGCTTGGAGACCCTGCCTGAGTTTCGGGACGACAGGGACGTATCATTACCGGTGAGTAGTGACCACCATATTCTTCTCTTTTCCCCTCCCTACTCCTTTCTTTCCATTTTCTCCTACGAGTACAACTAACATAAAATGTTGAGTAGGTTTCAAAACGAAGTCTTAGTTCCCCTCACTCAGAATGGTCAAACTGTAATTCTGCTGTTGTTGTTTTTAAAGTTCTTAATATTGATATGGAGTCCCTAGTTTCACTGCATTTTGGGGGCAACGTTTCACTACGAGCTCTTGGAGGGCATCACCTTTCACTACTGCAGTTTCTCCACTGACATTCAAAGTTCAGACAGACCAAACTGTGTTACACTTGGAATGTGATGTATTCAAAACATAAAATATGGATTTCACATTCCTTTCAGCTGTTCTTCCTGCTGGCTTCCCATTAGGCCACTGGCAGGAGGTGGAGGTGTACAGTTGCCAGCTCCAGGTTGGGTAATTCCTGGAGATTTGGGGATGGAACTGAGGAAGGACAGGGACCTCATTGGGGTACAAGGCCACGGAGTCCACCCTCCAAAGCATCCTTGTTCTCCGGGGGGAATTGCAGGGAGGGAGGGCTATAAATCGAAATAATAAATAAATAAAATAAATATCTGTAATATGAAGATGAGCTGTAATTCTGGGAGATCCTCAGGCCCCACCTGGAAGCTGGCATCCCTCCCTACTTCCCATTCATCTCATTCTTTCCACCTAGAAATCTGAAGCCAGCACATCACTGCTAAAGCGTGAGAAGAATATAGCCAACGTATACAACCCAATAAAACAGTTTTGGAGGGTAGCCATGTTGGTCTGCAGCAGAACAGATTTGAGTCCTTAGAGACCGACAGCAGTTTCAGGGTATAAGCTTTTGAGACTCAAAGGTCCCTTCATCAGATACCCTGATAAAGGAGACCTTTGACCATCAAAAGTTTATGCACTGAAAATCTTGTTGGTCTCTTAGATGCTACTGGCAGGGCTGGCTCGAGGTGTTTCTGCGCCCTAGGCGACGCTGCCTTGTGGCACAGATGCCGACCTCCCGGTGGGGCCTGGAGACCTGGAGACCTCTGGAGCCAGCCACCCTTTTGCTGCCACCACCACCGCATCTCCCCCCTGCCCCCGTCGCCACCAAAGGGGGGAGGAGGGGGGAGGCACAGCTTGGCGCCCCATCCAGGGCCCGGCGCTCTAGGCGAATGCCTAGTTCGTTTAGTGGGTGAGCCAGCCCTGGCTACTGGATCTGGATTTAACTCTTCAACCCAAGGACTCCTGTATAAAAACATTTCTTATGGTTGTGCCCCAACGCCAGCTACCATCGATTCCACATTTGGGCTGAATCCTCCCTTCTTAATACAGGAGCCTTGTAAGTGAGTCTCCTGGGGACAGACCACCAGAACACTCACTGCTAAGTTAAGCGTTGGAATAAACCATCGACAATACAGTTGATGAGTCACGTTAGTGAAAAATGGAAATAACTAGCGTTCCTTTCTCCACCCCTTCTCAATCCTTTAGTGGCCGATATCCATCAAGCAGGACTTTTTAAGGACATTCCAAGCCAAAGTCTGGAGAAGTAAAAGGCTGAGATTTATGCAAAGGATCCAAAATTATGTTTTGTGAGGCTGCAATGTTTGGGATTTGACCCTATGATAGAAATCATTTGGTAAACCTATGTGATATATTTGCACAGTTTTAGCTTCCCTCTTTCAGCAGCAATCTGAACCACCAGAGAAGGGAAATGAAAGGTGGATTCTCTTGCTTTTTGTTATCACCACGAAGGCAGGAATACATGTGGCAATGTGTCATGGAAAAGGTCCAAATCCAAATGAACTGGGATCCATGTCGATGGCCCCACAACCTCAGCATACACCTTGGGACCATCCCATAACCTGGCTGCACATGTATCTCTGCTGCAAAAAATCTGTTTACAGTCAGAGAAACAATGGTATGAATCCACCTTTTGATACCATGAACGAGATGTTTCAACCCTGTCTTCTAATCCACCTCCATCAATTGTCCACCTTGAGACACCTCAAATCATGGTGCCCTTCCGAGTGGACACATCATTCGTCATGGGATGTGTCCAGGCTCCCATCATCATAGAATCATAGGGTTGGAAGGGACCTCCAGGATATTCTAGTCCAACCCCCTGCACAATGCAGGACATTCACAACAAGTGCCTTCCCCCCACACCCCCAGTGACCCCTGTTCCATGCCCAGATGATTACAAAAAACCTCCAGGATCGCTGGCCAAACTGCCCTGGAGAAAAATTGCTTGCTATCATCATCATCATCATCATCATCATCATCATCATCATCATCATCATCATCATCATTCATCATCCTGTCCCACTCTGTCCCCTCATGCATTGGAATCCCCACACCATTTTCATTCCCTGCCTACTCTGTGTCTCCTCCGTTTTCTGTGACCCCTTGGCCACTTTTGAGCTGGGCTGTAAGCAAAGAAAAATTACTTCAGCTCGGGTTGATGTTATTGACCCAAAGCCGGTGTCCTGGAGAGCAGGGATGCTGGTTCTTTTAAGAGCTTAAAAGGAAACCAGATCTACCTAGCTAGGGATGCAGTGGCTCCTAGGGGAGTTCCCAGCACATGAACCCAACTGGACACTAGACTGGGAGGACCAGGGGTAGTGGATAGAAACTGGGCTGCCATAGGGCCACTGGGTCAGGGATCACGAAGGGGCAGGGCTTCCAGGTTGGAACATAGGGCTTCTAATGAGATTTGAGCAGCACTAGCGCCTATCTAGTTAGACATGAACTGCCTGTGTAGAGTGTGGAGTTATAGCCAAATATGTCCAACAGAAGAGGCTGGTTTCTGATCTCTGATTCAGCTATTGCTTCACACACACACACACACACACACACACACACCCCACATACAAATAGACATGCTCCAAAAACCTTGACTTACCAAACCATGATGGGATTCCCAGCCCCATGACTGCCCCCTGTCATTAATGCAGGGAGTCTCTGTGGACAGGAAGAAGGTGCATAATTCCTTACCTGCCCACCAATTCTACCCCGCAGCACCTTCCATAAGTCCCTCTAGCTATCCCTTTAATAACAGGAGGTCCCTTCAACCTAGGGTTGCCAACTTTGGGTTGGGAAGTTCCTGGAGATTAAGGGGCAGAGCTTGGGGAAGGTGGGCTTTGGGGAAGGGAGGGACCTCAGCAGGGTACAATGTCATACAGTCCACCCTCCCAAGCAGCATTTTCTCCGGGGGAACTGATTTCTGTAGCCTGAAGACCAGTTGTAATTCCGGAAGACCTCCAGGCCCCAACTGGAGGCTGGCAACCCTGCTTCAACCACCTATTTCTGCATATTAAACTTCTATAGAACTGGGATCTGGGAAACTGAGGTCTGACTCCTCACTTTACCATGTGACGTAAGCTAGGCCAGCTGATCCAAGATCACCCAGCAAGCTTCCATGGCAGAGTGAGGATTTGAACACAGATCCTCCTAGCCTGACACTTTAACAGCGACCTGTAGTGAAAACAGCACTGTCCTATGCTAAAATGTCAACCTCATAAATCTGCTTTTGCTTACTAAAACTGATCCTTGGAACTTCATTTCTGTGGTCCCACAGTGAATGTTCTTCATCCCATTGTGAAGGTGGGTCACAGGCCATCCCTCCCTAACGGCAGGGCTATTTTTGGGCAGGAACGCACAGGAACGGAGTGCCGGCTGGCTCCCGAGTTGGCCACGCCCAGCAGGAACTCATTAGCATAACAGGCCACACCCAACAGCAGAAACTCATTAGGATTGGCTACATTAGGGGTGTGTGGCCTAACATGCAAAGGAGTTCCTGCTACAAAAAAAGCCCTGGGTTTTGACAACAAACAAGGTAAACAGAATAACAAGCAAAAGGTGGGTGTGGCAGGGAAAACAGCACTGTCCTGTGCTAAAATGTCAACCTCATAAATCTGCTTTTGCTTACTAAAACTGATCCTTGGAACTTCATTTCTGTGGTCCCACAGTGAATGTTCTTCATCCCATTGTGAAGGTGGGTCACAGGCCATCCCTCCCTAACGGCAGGGCTATTTTTGGGCAGGAACGCACAGGAACGGAGTGCCGGCTGGCTCCCGAGTTGGCCACGCCCAGCAGGAACTCATTAGCATAACAGGCCACACCCAACAGCAGAAACTCATTAGGATTGGCTACATTAGGGGTGTGTGGCCTAACATGCAAAGGAGTTCCTGCTACAAAAAAAGCCCTGGGTGTTGACAACAAACAAGGTAAACAGAATAAGAAGCAAAAGGTGGGTGTGGTTGGATGACCACACTTCTGGTAACATGGTGGTGTGGCCTAATATGCTAATGAGTGTATGCTGTTGGGTGTGGCCTATTATGCTAATGAGTTCCTGCTGGGTTTTTTCTACAAAAAGAGCCCTGCCTAACGGCCACTCCTGCCTTTTGAAGTTTTCACTTTCTCCCCTCTTCCGCCCTCCCTGACAACTTTTCAAATTCTCATCTCTCCCTTCCTTTTCAACAATAGTGAGGGGGCAAAAGCCATCCATCGAGCAACTAATAACCTTATGGTCGTAACCAGAAAAAAAGCGGGGGGGAGGAGGCTGGAAAATGGGCAGGCACTGTTCAGTGCACTGAGAAGAAACCAGAGGAGGAGAGAAAGAGGCTTGTGCATGCATCATCTCTCTCTTGGTGCTGCTCCTTCAGCAGCCCAGCCTCTTGGTCAAAAGCTGGAACGTGACCTCCATATGCAAAGGCTGTGTGTCCTTTAGAATGCCACTTGTCCGGGGGCATCTGTGCCCTTCATGAAATGTTTGTTGGGGTTTTTTTACAGTGGTTGTTGGCCACTGTAAAAAAAAAAATGGAATGCTGGACTAGATGGGTGGTGTGGTCACGGTTTGCCTAGAGAGCCGGATCTGGGATGGCTCACCACACCAAGTAAATTTGGACTTGTGAGTCACCATACCAAAAGAGCCATTGCTCTAGAGCAGGGGTGGCCAAACTTGCTTAACAGAAGAGCCACACAGAATAAACGTCAGATGGTTT